TAAGATTTTTTAAAAATGTATACAGAGTGTTTCGAAAACTCTGGTCATTGATTAATCACGATCCTGCTTAAAGCGCTTGACGTAAAAAGCTGATTTTTGGAAAACAGATTGACTTTAGGGCGTAGAGGTTCGATAAGAAGGGATTTTTCGAAACTCGAATTCTAAGGGTGTGAAACTATCCCTCAAATATTAAAATATTTTTTATTTAAAAACCGGTGAGTTTTTCGGAAAAACTCTTAAACACGTATATTTTATATTGTTGTTTTACATATTTTAAGATTTTTTATAAATTTATACAGGGTGTTTCATAAAATATGACCATTGAGTAATCACGATTCTGCTTAAACTGCTTGACGTTTAAAGCTGATTTTTGGTAAACGGATTGACTGTGGGGTGTAGAGGTTCGATAAGAAGGGGTCTCTCGAATCTCAAATTCCAAGAGGGTGAAAACGCCCCTCAAATATTACAATATTTGTTATTTAAAAAACAGTTAGTCTTTCGGGAAAACGCTTGGACAAGCATAATTTATTTGGTTTTTTTACATATTTTGAAATTTTTAAAAAATCATACAGGGTGTTCCAAAATGTTGGGTAATTTCTTAACCACGATTCTGCTTAAACTGCTTAACGTAAAAAGCTTATTTTTGGCAAGCGGATTTTTCGAAAGTCAAATTCCAACGAGATGAAACTACCCCTCAAATATTACCAAGTTATATAATAATATCGCCATATTGTTTTTTCTCATGCTGACATAAATGTGAGAAAATTTTATCCAGTTTGTATGTTAATGGAAATTCTTGCTTTGCTTTATCATCACCATTACAAATGATTAATTCGACGCGAACGAAGTTCGCTGGTATAGTCTTACTATATAAAACAAAGGTACCCTAGATTTACAGCATGGGTCAAAAAATGGATGGACTTTTTTAAAGGAAAACACCATTTTCTATAGGAGATAGACGAAAACTAATATCGGCGTCTGGAGTTCAATTTTTATCAAAAACATGATGGTGAAAACAGCACATCGATATCTGTTACCGTTTCGCAGTTACGGGTGTTTTTCAAAAAATTGCGTTTTTCACAAATCGCTTTAATTTTTTTGCTATACAAAATTTTGTATTTTTATGAAAACATTTTCAAAGCACCTTTTTATGTAGAATTTAATGGTTTAAGTATAATTTTTGTAAAATTAATAATATAAGAATTATCAACAGAAAACTTGATTTTTTATATTGGACATCCTATTGAAAATAATTTAAAATTACCTTTCCAAAAATATAGCATGCTTGATATTTTCGATTTTACTAGATTTCTCTTCTAGATATAGAGTTTTTAGAAATTACCCTACTTTGAATAAGTAGGCTTTGAACGGCGCCGGCTGTCATGCAAAACAATTCTAGCTGTGAGCAGCAATTGAAACGAAAATAATATTTGCAATGAGAAATTTTCCATAGCAAAAAAGTTACACAGCAATTTGTTAAAAATGCACATTTTTGCCCAAAATATACTAAAACAAAATTTTAAGTATTCTGTTAAGACACATACATTTTTCTCCATTACTATACAGGGTGATTCAGATTTTACTAGAATAACTTCAGGTATCGATAGAACTAGCAGAAATAATGATAGTTTGTATTATAAACCATACTCCAAAAACGCTTCCGCTTGGAGTAAAATGGCGCTAAAATTTGAATTATTTTTCATATGGCATGCTGCTAATTAAGTAACATTTTTCGAACGCAGCTGAGCTATGTCCGGAATTTTGTGAAATATCTCGAAAACTAAGCGACATATCAAAAAAGTTTAAGAACAAGAAAAGTTAGTAAAAAGACGGAAGGTTTCAGAAAAAAAATACAAATTTTTTCCAGTGACTTGCGACAAAAAAGTTCGACAAGGTTCCGTGCAGTTGACACTCACAAAAACAACACCCTGTATAGACAATTAATCCAATTTTTTCACACATATCAGCCACGTTGCCCTTAGTATTTAACCAAACACTTGCGTATTTAGATCCTCTGGCTTACGAGTAATAAAATAAAAACCGAAAAATAATTCAAATTTTAGCGCCATTTTACTCCAAGCGGAAGAGTTTTTGGAGTGTGGTTTATAATACAAACTATCATTATTTCGGGTAGTTCTATCGATACCTGTGAACACATTTACTTACTTAGAGTTTGGACAATTTAATTTAAAATCTGTTTCTTTAAAATGCCTACCGGGAAGCGTTGTCGCTTTCCCAATCTTTCGAAAATCGCGTGAAAATTAATGGAGTTTAGTGATTTTCGCTTCCTAAGCGAACACGAGGTAAACAGTGGGCTGTAATTTCAAAACTTGAGCTAAAATTTTCATCTCTATCTACTATCATCAGGGTTGGGTCTTTAATAAATAAATACCTTAGTGCACTTTTTGCTAGTTTGGGTCTATATTGGGTGAGTCTTAAATAAGTGCAAATATACTTAGGGGTAATATATTTCGACCCCAGAAACACGATTATAAGTTTTTTTTTGTGAAAAAACAATTGAATTTTTTTAAAATGTTTAGTTAAAAAACATACTTTCTTCATAATAATGCAACATCGGTAGTAGATTAAATTTACAAGGAAGAAAATTCAGAAAAGATCCAGTGGTTCTCAAAATTTTAGCAAAAAATATTTTTTTTGAAAATTTTCAGTAAAGTAAAATAACTCGTTTGTTTTGGATTTATTTGACAAACAGTAAGAGAAAATAAGTTTCTTTTATCGAAATTTACCCGCTAATCTGTGAAAACATGTTCACTTTTTTTAAACAGTACCCTATATTTTACAATTCACTATTGTCTATCACTTTCAATACACATTTTCTACACCTTTAAAAAATAATACTGTAGTTATATGGAGAAATCGTGTGCCAATTTTAATTATCTATACTCTAAACGTAAGAAAACCAAAAACTGACTTTTACCCAACCCTGCCCACCATTTCCTTCCCGCCGCTTTAAATTTGATTTATATCCCAGGTGATGATTAAGCTGAAATTAGAGAAAGCGGTTGATTAAATTAATTATCTTTGAATTAATCCCATCTCGAAGTTACGTCGCGCGTTGCGTCGACTAGATGGAAGTAGATGGCAAGATACCTGAGAATTTTCGGCTTTAGCAAATATATCTGAAGCGCGATATTTGCGATATAACTCTGGTTTTTTAGTAAACACATAGAAAACTGATGTCAAATATTCATAATTTTCGTGAGTGTGTATAGTATTAGTTTGCTAAATATTGCGCCATAATTAAAAAATAAATACATGTAGGTGTAGTAATTTAACTTCAATTATATAGATTGCTGCTACTAAAAAATAAATTAAAAAATATATCCATGAAATTTGCAGATAGGGAAAGTCCAGCCATACACCATATACTTTTTCCCCAATATTAAATGATTAAAAAGGACCTTCCTATGTCGGAGACAAGCTCGTCGGAAACGCGCTCTGTAATATTTATTACAGAGTCTGCAACAAAGAGTTCCTTTGATGCAGATTGAGCTTGTTCAAGTAGCACTTGACAGCCATATGTCCTGTCAAGAAACTTGTGGTAAACCGCACTTCTCATTGAGCATTAGCAGTTCCTTTATAGTTTTAGAATTAGGTACTTGGATGAGTAGGATATTCAAATCTGTATTTAAAAATTGAACTTTTACTACTCTGATGCCAATATGTTGCGCAATAACTTAAGATCTATCATGCAGATCTTAAGCATAACTATTATACAGATCTTGCAAATATTCAAGTTTATTTTAATTTAATTTTTTTAATTATTACCTTTTTAAAGGTTAAATTTTGAAATATAAGAAAATACTAAATTAAGAAAAATAAAAAATATATATATTTTTCATAATTGAATAAACCATGATTCACCTGTTATATTTTGTTATAGTTATATTTATACCGAGTCGGCATTTCTGAAAGAACATTCTGAAGAAGAGCTTTGTAATGCAATTATATAATTTTTTAAAGGTTCTTAAGAATACTATAAGTTCTAAAATTTATTTAAAATATTCAAAATATTTTAAAGATGTATCACTGACCATTACACAGTTCAGATTTATCAAAACTCAAGTATATCTTAATCCAATAAGATATTTTATTTAATTTTAAATAATTGCTAGAGATAACGGTAACACTATTAAAAACAATCCAATCTAATCATAATAATTTGCTCATTATAATAATGAATTTAATATACTTGCTTAGTTTGCAACAATATGGCAAAAGTTCAAATTTCCTAGCGAGACTAGCACCAAACTTTGTCGTCCACTGATTTAAATTAATAGGACATATCGAGTTACCGACTAAGACGAAGAAGATCGCATTATAGTTAAGGGAATTTAACTGATGCCTGTTACATAATTTAGAAAGTTACTGATTTCAAGCCCAGGAAAGTTTAATTAAAAGTTTTAACAGGTCCGTTAATATCTTAAGGCCATTATTAACACATTGTGACTATAAAATTTTTATTTTGTTTATGCTATATTAGTCTTATATTATTTTTATTGTAATTATTAATCATATTAAATAATTATGACAATATTTGTACAAATATTCTGACTTTTAAATGTTTGTTATAGCGAAATATTAAATTTGATTTTTAAATCTAGTTAGAACCTACAGGGTACTGTCTCCTCAATGAACATCTCAGTAGATTAAAGCTAAGCAACAACGGCGAATGTAGATTCTGTGAGAAAAATGGAAAAACACCAGAACACCTCGTCACTGAGTGCGCCTAGATTACAACCAATCGTACCATAAACTTTGGTACGACTGATATCGGAGTTAGAGAGCTAACCTCTTTAAAACCGTCTCAGATACTGGCTTTTGTTAATGCCTTGAAACTGTATGATAAGTTATAACTCAAAAAAGAGGACAACTGAGGATAATAATAATAACAACTAATACAATCTACTTAGAACAACAAATTGATACAGAATCTTAATAACCTAAAAATAATTTAGAAAATTTTGGTATCTACTTACGTGAAACTGTGTTCTTGCAGTTCTGCTAGCGTAGGCTAAATGAATACCAAAAACCAAAATGGCGAATTCTCCAGCTTCGGTAACGTAGTCCCACCATAAATATTTACAAGACTGAAAATCAGAAAAAAGGACTGTTATTGAAAGACGTATTTTTATATTAATCTCTGAAACAGAAATATAATTAAATATGACAGAATTTTTTTTATGATCAAGCATGATATTTGACCCATCAGCACAGCATATTTAACCCATCTGTAACTTCGTGGTGGATAAAGCAAGAATATTAATTTGTAGTAATCAAAAAGATATACTACAACTTTCTATATAGCCAATATATGTAGTAAAAAATTAATTATTATATCTTATAGTTTATGAATTGTTACTAGGCAAAGTTTTTAAAATCCGATAGTGACTAACTATCAACAAAATTCTAAGTTACTTCTAGGAGTCTCACAAACTTTAAATTTTGTATTTTGTTAGACTTTGGCCTGTAAAGGAAGGAAAAAATGAAAAATCCTGCTTTCTTTGTTAACTATATGTATATGTTTTAGGTACTAGATACTATGTATTTACTGATAGAAACATTGTCAGTACTGATATAATATTTGAATTTGGTGCAGAATGCTTTAGAATATCGACGCAAAAAAAATAGCAAGGGACTTATTTTACTAAAAATCGGATTCGGCAAGAAGTTATGAAGAAATGTAACGAGTGATGCCAAAAAAATCATCAGCTTAGTCTAGTAAAAAAAATTACCAGCCAAACCTTAAAAAAGTATTATTTTTTGCGACGTGATTGACAATATAAAGATGATAATATTTTAACGCCTTGGTCTAAAAGTTAAACAATTTTACGCCTAAGCAGAAAAATACGAAAATATAGTATTAAACTGATATAAAGTGTAAAATTCAACGAGCGTAACCATAGTTTCTCAATATACAATGACTTACTTTTAAATCTTTTTATGTTATTTGGAAAGTTTAAAATTGTTTAAGAAATTATTTGTGGCGTTTGAAAAAAAATAGCACGTTCTATTAGGAGTAAAAATTATTTTTTGTGCCTCGCCTGTAATGTCAAACGTACAGCCTCGCCCTAAAAATTATCATTTTTATAACTAAAATTAAAATTAAGGTTTTTAAAATTTTATAAAATTTCAAACATCTCAGCTTTACTGAAGCTGAACTAAGTAAGATTGTTTTTTTTTTCTGGAAGTTAATTTTAAACCAAACCAATACCCGTCTAAATATATCCCTGTATCGAAGAAATCTTTCCCGATATCGATAGACAAGAAAAAGAAACCCAAATAACAGAACCGATACAACTGACACTATCCCACAAGCTTTAAAGCGCGGCCGAATCTCATTGATTTTAGTTCGGGAAAGAACATTTCAACTTAGCGAAGATTTCCGAAACCGACGTATAGACAGCGATTCAATGGAAGCCAGTAGTATTTTTATGCCATCGTCTTCCTTTTTTTTTCTCTATTTTCTTTTGTGAAATTCTATACCAGTCACTCTCAGTAATGTAAGAAATCTGGAGCATATGAATTGATATAAGACGTGAATCATTCATGATATTGATCATGAATGAATTGAGTGTATATAGAGTAAAAATTTCAAACTGTGAGCCTGATATTAAGATTTTCTTCTACTAAGGGCTGGCTAAGGTTAGTCTTGGGCCGAGATTTCCGTATGTAAGAAGAGTACAATGCGTTTATAATGTACCGAACAAAGAGACAACAGTAAACACGTTGCCAAACGTATGAAATAAACTGTGCATATTGCTAAGAGACGTGGAAGGGGATATAGCAGATTTGTCGCAGTTGACCGGTCGACCCAATCAGTACCTCTGTCAGTACTTAAATTACTAGGAAAAGGTGTACATCGTGCGTTTAGCTTCACGATTTAATTACGTCTCGTGATACTTTATTTGTTTAATTATTAACGAGAAGTTGTAACTTTCCCTGTAGCTTGAAAATTTTTAAGTGCAAGCTAGAAACACTTGCATTTTTGGTAAAAATAAGTGGAATTGAGTTGGTGTTCGACAGTGGCCGCGTTATTAGAACACTGAATTCAAAGATCGATATCTCGAAATCTATTAGAAATAATTAATTGTAGTTTTTTCAAAAACTTTCTTAGTATTTCTGATTTATTTTTTTCCTAGACAGTATGTGAAAATCTTTATTAATAAAAAAAAATACACGATTGCTGAAAATTGCTATGCTCTAAAAGTAAATGGATGGGTTGTTTACAATTTTTGAATGGAAAAAAACAACCTTATTGAATTTTTTTTATGTAAATATATTATAAAAGATCCGATCTTCAAAATAAAAAAAAAGTTTCAATATGTTTTTCAGTTTCAGAGTGGTTCTTGAGTTATGGCGTGTTATGTGTTAAAAAGTTGAGTTTTAAAATTATCGCGATTGCTGACGTTTTCTCGTTATAAACAAATGACACCCTAACGATATTCTTATAATTCTATTTAAGATTCTCAGAAACATGTCTAATGATTATATCTAGTTTTAGGCAACGCCGCAACAGAACACCGTCGCATTTCTCTCACTCCGACTTAATAAGATCCCTATGCGATTTACTTACACACATGTAAATACTGACCCAAAAGTAACAGTTGCCAGCACGGCAACTGTTACAGACAACAAAGATCAAAAATTCATGTACTTTAAAAAAGCTATAATAATGAATAAAGGAACAATTTTATTTCTTAAAATTGCCATAGTAGGGTGTACCAAAAAACTAACCTAAGGAATTTATCGGTTAAAATAAACCTAATAATCGAGAAAAAAAATATCCCTGGAAGGCAGGATTTTTAGGTCACTTTTAAAAGGTGTCGGTGAGTTTTGTTGATGTAAATAATAACTGTTTCTATATTTATAATTAATTTATTTTTGTTTCTTAAAATATTTTGATTAAAAGAAAATATGTAAAAGTGGGCAACGCTGTACCGGTCAAGCTTAATCACGTGACTAAAAGTTGATTTGATATGAATTATTCTATAAAAAAACTATAATAATGAATATAGGACACTTATATTTCTTATAATTGAATAGTAAAAGTATAGAATGGTCGAACACAGCCTCCCATATATGTTTGAAAATTACATATTTTTTGATGAGATAGACTTATATATAAAATAAAATCCCTAAACATTATCTAATATATTTGCAGTTTGCTAAAAAACACAAGCATTTCGTAGAAAAGAACACCGTCTAGCTTAAAAAAAGACCTATTTAATTTTACTGGACACACCGAATTAATCTGTGATTTAAATTTAACAGTTGAGAAAAAGCACTTTTTACAAAACTATTTTTTGAGCTTCTCAGACAGCAAGATTAATTGTACTCGCTAAGTACATCTAATTAATTTAAAGCTTAAACCTGTAAAATGCGGAATTAGTAAGACAAATGATTTTTCAAGCTACCGGGAAAAATTACAGAAGATTTTTCGAATAATTTTATTGAAATTGTTTTAAATATTTTATCTGACATTGTTTGGAGAGTAGAAATTAAATTTATTTATGTATACCATTTTAAATAAAATATTAAGTGAAAAAACAATAATAATTCCCTTCTTAGTTTCTTCTTAAATAGTAATAAAGGAATCATAATATCTTTTTGTTTGATAAAAAAAATAATTGAAAAATTTTTGACTTTGCAGTGCATACAGCATACAGTGTCCATCTGGTTTAATAGAGATACATAGATGCGATTTTTACATCACTTTTTTATAAAACTAAAAATGATACACATAAAATATGGTTCATACCAAATAAACTTTTTTCACGTGATTAAGCTGGATCGGCACAGCGTTGCCTACTTTTATATATTTTCTTTTAATCAAAATATTTTAGGAATCAAAAATAAATTAATTATAAATATATAAACAGTTATTATTTACATCAACAAAATTCACTTTAACAGCACTTAAGGGACATAAAGGATTATTACTACCGCTTTCCCATTCAAAATATTCTTATAAGGTTCCGATGAGTTTTTTACGGTTATTAAGTTATATTGTACACTTCCCACTAAAAGAAGTTCTAAAAAGAACAATGTTGTTGTCTGCTAGTAAACATTTTTACGCTTAAAATATCACAAGAGTCAACAATCAAATTTTATTAATTGGCTATTCCACGCTAGTTTCCTTTTGTGAAATGACTGCACAAGTGCATAAAAAATATCAATAACTATGACTGACACCCGTGTTAAATAAAAGATGCACAAATTCATTTTCAGTGTAGTTTATTAAGATATCACGATGGAAGGCAAACGTATCAGGTTAAATAAAATAAAATAAAATAATAATGCTCTTTTAAAGAATTGTTTTATAAAATAATGCATTTTCACCTTATTTGTGAAAATATGTATAGAGTATTATATTTTTAGGAAGCCCCTTAACAATACCAACTAAAATAAAAACTAATATACAGGATATCTTATTAAAAAAATAAGTTTCAGTCATATTTCGAAAATGACAGGTCTAAGCAAAAAAATATTTACGTCACTAGATTCTACGTGAAAAACTCTATGGAGCTGCGTTTTCACATTTTTGGTAAGTTATAAGATACGAGAGATATAAGAACCAAGATACGAAAAAAATAGAAAATTGCAAAAATTTCAAATCTGCCATTAATTTCAGGATCTAAGAAGGCTAGGAAAAAATTGTGTGTACTATTATTAATTTGGCATATAATATAGCAAAGTAAAACCACATTTTTGTAGCTATTTGTAAAACACACGAAAATGGAACACTCTGTACTGCAAGTTATTAGGTAATTAGACTGTTCTAAATAATTGTATATTAATTTCAAAATAGTGCAATATGCTTTTCCTTGTACTTTATAATTACTTTTCAAATTATTTCCCTCGTCGTAAACAAAGTAGCTAGCTCTGTTTAGAGTAACTAGCCTAATTAACTGCTTTAGCAACTCAGCTGGAGGTGGAGTAGGGGGAATTACCTGAAATTGTTCTCCGTTGTTTGTCCATCCGACATAGAGCAACGAGTAGTTCTCTTGCATGAAGTTGAGGGTAATTGCCGTGTAAGCTGCCATGTAAGCCAGGCCCGACAAGATCATTATTAGCAAGTACTTTAGCAGGTCCGTGTCCTTAACTACCTGAAAATAAAGTGTGTTGTTTAAATGAAGGGATTTAGCAAGAGCAATTTGAGTCAATTATAGAAGAAATAACTAAGTTATAAAAAAGGATTTTTGCATAATTTACCTATATATGATTCTCACGTTCTTACCACATAACCATATGTTTAGTACGCTATTATCACAAAGAAGTGTCTCTTTAGAATTGTGTATAAAAAATAAATAAATGTAAGTGTATGCTAAGACATATAGAGTGTCACAGATAAAGTCTACATCATATGGAACTTCTTTTTGCTTATCGACTAATGTGAAATTTGATTTAGGTCATGTTTCTGTTTTGATTTAGATTAAAAATGACTTAAGACTTAAGAAACTTGCTACCGGGTATCTGTAAAATTTGACATTTACGGTAATAAATGGCTTAAAAACCGGTTTCTTTTTTTTATTTTTTTTAAGCTTTTAAAACATTTTTGAATAAATGTACCAATTTTCAGCCATCTAGAATGAATTTTCTTTTGTCATTTTTAACCAATAGCAGCCGATTCTCGCGATAGAAGCAAAAATAACTGACGGGAGCCCTTTTATCATTCAAATATTTATCTAGAACTCATATAGGTATTTCAGTGTTTTGAATTAATTAATAGTTTTTATACCAAGTTAAAATTTGACCGCTAGGTAAATATTTGACTTACAAACGATTTGTTCAACGAAAGAATACTAAGGGCAAAAACACGTACAAAATTCATCACAGAATTACAATACGCTGATGACTGCGCTCTAGTTGCAAAAACATTACAGCAATTACAAGAAATGGTGAAAACATATACCTGGGCATATGAGGCTTTGGGCATTAGGCTGAACATCGATAAAACTAAAATCATGTATACTGTGTGCACTCCCCCGGTAGATCACAACAATGCTATAAAAATCGGAGAAGAACTATTAGAATATGTAACGGAATTCAATTATCTGGGCAGTTTGATTTCGGAAAAGGCCAAAATCGACTCTGAAATTCAGCACAGGATTAGCAGCGTCTCAAGAGCACTATGGAAATTAAAAGACAGGGTTTTCTACAATCATGATTTGAGCACAAAAACGAAACTTGCAGTATACCGAGCAATAAGAATCCTCACCATGTTATATGGAAGCGAAACCTGGGTGCCGCACTGCCAACACATGAGCGCATTAAACAAGTTGCAATAGAGACACCCGAGACAACTCTTAAGAATCAAATGGTTCCACCATGTCTCAAACTTATCCCTGCGAGAGCGTTGAAGTCATGATTACAAAATTCCGCTGAAGATGAGCTGGTCACGTATGCATAATGCAAGAAAACCGCCTACCAAAATTTTTGCTTTAGAGTGAGCTTGTAGACGGTAAGAGGAAACCGGGTGGACAACTCAAAATGTACAAGGATATTTTCCACGAAAACATAAAGGGGATAAACATGCAGAATGAGTGGAAAGAAGCAGCGCACAATAGAACGCAATAGAGAAGAATTGTAAACTCAGTTAACAGCGGCAACCAAAAAGTAAAGAGGCAACAAAGCAATGAGATTTTTGAATGACCGGAGTGCGGAAGAGACATAATATAACGTATCGGATTTTTCCGTCACAGAAAAGCTCACGAAAAAAAACGCCTTGCGTGACCATCTTCTGATGCGTATCAAATACTTGTCAGCGAGTAATGCCAGTATTTTTGCGAGTAATGGATAAAATTTTCTCACATTTATGTCAACATGAGAAAAAACAATATGGCGATATTATTATATAACTTGGTAATATTTGAAGAGTAGTTTCATCTCGTTGGAATTTGACTTTCAAAAAATCCGTTTGCCAAAAATAAGCTTTTTATGTCACGCAGTTTAAGCAGAACCGTGATTAATAACTTACCCAACTTTCAATCAACACCCTGTATGATTTTTTAAAAAATTTCAAAATATGTAAAAAAACAAAATAAATTATGCCTGTCCAAGCGTTTTCCCAAAGGACTAACCGTTTATTAAGTAACAAATATTGTAGGTAATATTTGAGGGGCGTTTTCACCCTCTTGGAAATTGACATTTGAAAAATCCCTCTTTATCGAATCTCTACACCCCCCAATCAATCCGTTTGCCAAAAATCTGCTTTAAAGGCCAAGCAGTTTAAACAGAATCGTGATTACTTAATGGTCATATTTTATGAGACACCCTGTATAAATTTTTAAAAAATCTTAAAATATGTAAAACAACAAAATAAAATATACATGTTTAAGAGTTTTCCTGAAAAACTCACTGGTTTTTAAATAAAAAAATATTCTAATATTTGAGGGGTGGTTTCACCCCCTTAAAATTCGAGTTTCGAAAAATCCCTTCTTATCGAACCTCTACACCCTAAAGTCAATCCGTTCTTTAAAAATCAGCTTTTTACGTCAAGCGCTTTAATCAGGATCGTGATTAATCAATGACCAGATTTTTCGAAACACCCTGTATACATTTTTAAAAAATCTTAAAATATGTAAAAAATAAAATAAAATATACGTGTAAAAAGCGTTTTTTTTGGAAACATGACCGTTTTTTAAATAAAAAATATTGTAATATTTGCCAAAATTGAGCTTACGCTGAGTGGTTTGAGCAGGATGGTGATTAATCAGTGAGTAAGTCACCTAAGGATTTTATATATTAGTATTATAGATTCTCTTACTTTAAAACGTGGAAAAAATCGATATTTTAAGCCTTTTGACTTAATGCATGTTTCCGAGATAAATGCGATAAACTTCATTTCTTCAGAAAGGCATCGAAGTTTGGATACAGTACCATTAGCTTTTACGTATGTAAAATGCATATCTACCGTGCTTTCAAATGGCTTTTCCTCTAACTCTATTTGTTACAGGAAAACTTGCAGAGTAAAAATGCGAGAGATTGAAGCTTTGATGTAAAAATAACATTTTTGATAGATGCTAATGCTCCATATTAATGCACGTATACCGTTAAAAAACATAAAAAGGGTCTCAGCACATTTTTTTTTTAAGATTGCCTTATATCTATCAAAAATAGTAGATAAAATAGTACTTTAACAGCAAGGGTAGATTAAATGATATTTTAACAGTGAGGATAGGTTAAAAATTGTATTTCTTCTCTCACGTTTTTTAATTGTTTCCATTTTTTAAAATTTGTATATTCCTTTTCGTCAGTTATTCGGGATTTAAATGGAAGTAGTTTGGATATGGCGTTTGTCGCCTCAGCCTGAATATCTGTTGGTAATTTACTTATTTCGTTTTGAGCTATTTCAGACTCCAATTCAATCAGCAATCGACACGAAAGAGAATTAAAAAATATTCACTCAAAACTGACAACTAAAGAGACAGCTTTATTTATTTATCAAATTACATTGAAACCAACGCCTACCCAGCACAATATTTTTTCTACTCGTAATAAATTCTTTGGAATAATAATTTCTGAATATTTTTCAAAACGTAACTCGCTATGGAAAAAAATATTGTTTTATACGCGACGATAAAATTGCATTATTGTCTCCCAAAATTAATTCACTCGCGATTTTATTGCTGGTGAATTAATATTTTCGGTCGACGATAAAATACCATTTTATCGTCTCGATAAAATACCATTTTATCGTCTTTTATAAAAAATAACTATTACTTAATCATTGCCGTTGGACAAAAAATTGGTTTAAGCATAATTTTTGTATCTATGATGTACATGTTCTTATAAAATTACAAGCACTAAAACAACAAACGTTCAGCGGCGTAGCGTGGCATCCATATAAGGGGATGTATCTGCAATTAACATTTTACAAACACAATAAAGTTTTTTTCCTTTTTCTTATTAAAGTTTTTAATTTTGAACTTACAAAAATAAAATATACAAAAAATGTAACAGGTTAAAAAAATTATTCAACCAATTTAAAAAAAGAACTAAATTTAGGTAATAAAAAAACAAAACTGTGGATGTATCTGTTAAATTTTAAAATTAAGAGTCCATTTCGCTAGTCCGAAAAAGTTGCAAAATAAGCGTTCGGCATTTAAAGTTTTATGTAAAACTGGTATTTTTACACAAATGAAGAAGAAAATTAAAGATAAAGGATTATACTATATCCGTATTGTCGCACATTTTTAGACAACTTCTTTATTTTAAGATTTTGATGGTCAAACATCAACAAAATATTTTTATTATGTTTGGACTAAATTTTCTCGAAAGTAAAGACATAATTAAAAATTCCGTTACAATACGGAAATAAATTGAAGTTTTGTGATTACAGTGATATATAATTTATATGGTTTTGTAACAAATTGCTCGCTATTTTATGGCAAATGCTGAAGCGCTGCAAACCTTAATCAAGCCTTAATTAAAGCACTTGTGTTTGGAAATTTAGGTGTGGCTTAACACGACAGGATTGGGCTAAGCCTTAGGCAGATATTTAAAATATAATATATCTTTCCTTCGGCCACACACCCGCTTTACCCGGCCCCCGAGAGTGACCCGAACAGTATAGCGTAATATACTCTTAATTTCCTGCTATGCATTCCAATTGTACCAACTTATTTCTTTGTAAAATGAAATAAACTACTGTGAAACTAAAACAACAGACACATGTATCACTGTCAAGGATTTTGTCGTTGGACAGGCTCTACACACGAAACCGGCATCCAAAACCAGACGTTGCCGAGCGTGTATGATAAAATTGCTTTCTCAGAATAGTTTACGGTACAAGTGCCCATAAAACAGCTTATATAAATTTAATCTGTATTATTCCACGCAGCACCTCTTCAATTTTTCACTAATAAAACTATAAAAGGGCGATCTATTTTTACGAGACAGCTAAATTGCACCCGGAATTGCAGCTACTTCCTGTTTGTCTCGCGAAAGATTTAACCGCCCTCTCATAATTTATCCCGCTTCTGCGTAGTTTTGTCGTCGGCGGAAGTTGGCACGGAGTTCGAAAAGGTATAAAAAGAGTAAAAGAAGAAGAAAACAATCTAAAAATAAGCATTCATTATCATAGATAAGTATAAATTTGTTATTT